GAAATTCTAACCTTCCAGAAACTTTATACATGCCCCCATCCCATTTATGTCCCCTTTTTATAGTGTAGCAAGAAGTTTAAATAGTCAAACTTCATTAAGCTATAATAATTAGGGGTGCAACTTAATGAATTCATTTCAATTACAGAATATTTGTGAAGAAAGGCTGTGTTTTAATTTTATAAACTCATGAATAATATCGGCTTTTAATGGAATATTAACAAATTGAGCTCCTGGGGTAGCTGTTTATGAATAGTAGAATTCTCTTTAACTATTAGTGTATTAGAATCCTTAGAATAGCTCTTCTGTTAAGACAATTAAATGTGGTCTTGGTAGTCTTAACCTTGTCCATATTATTAATTCATTTCACTCTTCATCATTTCTCCCTGTATAGATTCTCTTTAGCCCAGTTCATGTGACATCCATAAACTGCATTAATGGCATCTAACACTAGGTAACATTTGTAATTCAAGTAGATCCCAATTTATAAACATGATATGCTATGTAAATTCACTTAGACAGTAGTAATTTGTAATTCAGACCTCACTGTACAATGTAAATAATATTATATTTGCTATTTACTAATATAACAATTATATTTTATAATATAATAATATTATTATGATTAATACCAAGTATAATACAATAAAATAATACTCTGGTACTTTAAAAATCCTGTTTAAATATAGACATTTATGATGAGATGCTATAGAAACCACTGCTTCAAATCATAAACCTATATAACATGTTAAAATCAGAAATTCTCCTTTTCCTTGAATGCTAGTGTAGGAGAAAATGCAAATTGAATTAGAAGGGGGATGGAGAAGTAGATAAATATGTTTGTAAAACTTTTTAAGGGATTTTCTTGGAACTTTCAAAATTTTTAGATACTTATGGCATCGATTTCTATTTCTGTCTAATTTTGTTTCAAAATGTCATGGCTTTACTTTTACTTGATGTTAGGAAGAAAACTCTATTCCTCATAAGCTTATTGGAGATGGAAATTGAAATGAGAGATGGGTGTAGAGAATGGTAGAGAGAGGAGGAAAAGAAAGAAAGAAGAGAGGAAGGAGGGGAAGGAAAGAGGAATAGATAAATGGAGAGAGAATGAAAGAGGGAGAGCAAGGGGAGAGAGAGAAAGAGAGATAACTTGAAGAGTCTGATTAGATAAGAAAAGGGAAAGGACTTCACAAGAACATGTGCTCTTTATATTTGTGAACAAGTCTACCTGCATTGAAATTACCTGATATATGATATTGAGTTTCAGAAGAAAAGAGGGTATCATGGCATTTTAATTGAGTTCAAAAGGAAGTATTTGGGAGAGATAGGATTCCCTGCCCTGACCATCAGGCTGTGCTCTTGGCTCATGACATTTTGGTTGCTATTTTGAGTGGGTGACAGGAAGGATGTCATGATTCAAGTCAGGGGAGAAAGAGGAGACAAAGAGCCCCCAGACATTTGTTTCTGAGTTACCTGTCAGCCAGGTGTTTTTTAATTCTAGGCAATGCCTGCATGTGCATTTTATGGCACCTTAGAAATTCAAAATTATTTTGACATCCGTCATTTCACTAGCTCCTCAGGAAAATTTCAGAATGCATGTGTATCTCACCAACGTTAATAATAAAGTCTAATTGAATTGAAGGTAAGCGTATGGATTGAAATATCTTGCATTAGTTTTAGTGCTGTTCATGTAATATTGACTAACAAGGAGACATTCCTGAAGACTAAAGCAAAAGTGATTAGTTCCATAGCTTAATGACCTATATATAGAACAGGATGTTGGTTAAAGGTTCCATGTCCCATGCTATGGACATGTACTACATGCAGGGTAGCAATGGTCTCAGCCATCCATGACAAAATGTTAGGTTTCTTCTGGTTGGTGGATGCAGTTCTCCAAAGCTGTATTAGTTGCTTGCAACTCTTGACCCTTCAGAGAGTAATTTTTTTTCATCCTAGAAATCTGATGAGAAGAGTACACTACCAGTGGATGGGTTGTCTCTTTGCTTATGCCTTTCTCCTTAAATGTGAAATTTTGCATAGAAAGAACTGCTGTACCTTTTCAGAGCTCTCAGTCTTTCAGTAGAATGATTAGAGGGGAATCCTGGGGTAATAAAAATGGGACTCTCACAAGTGTACTTTTCAAATTCAGAAATTTTCCTTCCTAGTTGGTTTCCCCACTCATAGATGGGCCTTCTTCTTCAGGATGTGAATGAGGAATGCCATCAGCCTAAAATAAACTCTGAGTAGAAATGGATAAAAAGGGCCTACCTGGAGTCTTTATCATGAGCTTGAATATAATGGAGTAACTTTACCATTCATCAATCCAACTGAAAGTCATCTTCATCATGAGCAACTTCCCAAAATACCAATTTGTTTTTTCAAAGCACAAATTGCAATGTTTTTAGCTTCTCTTATGCCAGACACTGTGCTAGATGCTGGGAATACAAAAACAGAGAAGAAACAGTCCCACTCTCAAGAAACATATTCTGTTGGTATAGGCTTGGTGGACTTTTTATTTTTATAAAATAAAACACAGTCTAAGATCAGAGTCAACGTGTCCTATAGGTATAGTGCCTAATGGGAAAAACAAGAATTTTGTCTAACTAAGCTAAAGTGAATCAGTTGATATTTATCAGTATCCTAAGATTTCAGAGCTAGCACTGGGTTCAGAGATCACCATTTGAATTCTCACTGAGTGGTTGGTTCTGTCCTGGATAATACAGAATCTATGAAGTAGCATTTTCTTATTTCTAGTTCATAGTATAGTATAGCCTAGGATAAGAGCAACTACAACTTAAGACAATTAACAATTATCAGAAAGAATTTATCAGACTCTAGAGATGAATACACTTTAAAACTTTTTTAAATCTGAAGGGTTCTGTTATGTTCTCTGCAAACCACAACACCAGAGAATAGGACTTCTCACATGTTTTTAAAGTTTATTTCTTTTGATCTTATCCTGTGGACATTTTGTTTTAGATTCTAAAGTTTAAGGTAAAGTTGAGAGAAAAATATTGTGCCAACAGCTTATATAACACAAGGTTTAAAACAAAGGAAAGAAGCAGGGCAAATAAATATGTAATGGAAATAATTAGATGAAAACCCTCTCTGTGGGATCACAAATCAATAAGGAATGCTTTAGATCAAAGGTGACATATGAATAAGAGGCTATTGCTAAAAGTGACCAGACATACTACATAGCAAGATGACAAAGAATAGGGTCACATACATAAATTGGCCAGCAAGCTAAAAATTGTAAGTGCTAATAGACCCTTACATAGAGGCAGTGTGTTGAATGAAGCCATTTTTCCAATTTCGAAAGGAACTATCATATTTAGGACAAAGCATTCTTTAAAACATGATTAGTGCTTTGTCCATTTGGCCACTCTTTTTCTTTTGTTTGTGGACTGAATCTTGATTTGATGAGTATAGGGAACTCCTGGCAAAGAACTTCCTCTTCCAAGGCAGATTGGCACTTTCTCTAAAACTTAGTCTTAAATTTAAACATAGTCTGGAGTGGTAAGGTGAAATCTTCTGCCCAGGTTCATACAGTTAGTATGCATTAGAGTCAGGATTTGAACTCTGGTCTTCCTGATGACAACTCTCTATTCTGTAAATCATGTCTTTCTTTATCAAGATTTTTATAAAATCTCTCATATTATTCTACAAGATAGGCTTCTTTCTCTCATATAGGCAATTTGAATAGGAGGTGCCACTGTCTCCCAAAGAGAGGTCTTCACACAATTTGACACTCTTTCTATTTTTTCATGAGGGTTTACAGCTCATGCTGCTCCTAACACTTTGAGTTAGATCATGGATACCAGTTGAGATGAGAGTTTTACTAAGTATTTTGAGTGCCCAAACTTGGTGCCAAATTCTGATGCATGATGATTCTCCTCATAAGAGAAGGTCTTCTAGCATTTCTAGTTGCTTTTAAGAACATGTCACTATTCCTCACAATGTGCTGTGGATTTATCTTGGGCCTATAGAATTCTACACAATTTAACTCTTCCTTTAAAACAACCTGCTAGCCAAAGGTCCAATTATTTTCCAAAGAAATAAGAATAATTATCTAGCCATTGCTATCCTTTCCAAGCCAATTTGATTCCTTTAGTTTTCTCTTGGTTTTCAGTTAACTGGTACTACTAAGGTAATGATATTTTGGTTTTTGGTGCTTTCCCATAAGCCGCTATACTTTTCAGGAAGAACTAATAAGATGATACAAGATGAACATTAGCATGACTAAAGCTGAAGTCCTACACTTTGGTTTTTTAAATTACCTACATAAATACAGAATGGGTAAGATTTATCTTAGCATTAGTTCATCAGAGAAAGACCTCAAAACTTCAGTTAAAAGCTCAATATAAATGAATCAACTATAGTTAATATAATTTTAGACTGTATTAAATTAAATATGACTTCATTCCTTCTCCAAGGAGTCAAAAGATATATTGAATTCTGTGATAACTAGACTACTTATGGAGTATTTTGCTCAGTTGTTTATCCAATATCATGAGAAGATGATAACAAAAAGAAGCACGCGTAGAGGTGAGTGACCAGAATGGGTAGAAGTCTCATATTAAGAAGGTTCAAGGAACAGAAAGTATTTAGCCTAGACAGGAAAAGACTTGGGGAGAAGCTCCAAGTTTTCTTAAAATATTAAAAGAGATGTTAGGTGATAGAGGGTTTAGATTTAGTCTTTGTTTGCTATAGAAGAAACAACAGAGATCAACACATAGAATTTACATAATAGGGTGGGAGATTTCAGTTTAATTTATAGAAGCATTTTCTAACAGTGTTGTCTGACAATGGAATGTATTCCTTGCAATATATCACTGTTTTCAACGGAAGTATTCAATGACCACGTGTTCAAGGCAGTTATTTATTGATGGTTGAAGATTTCACTAGATAACATCTAAGATTTTCCCCAAACTAAAGTTCTATGATTCTTTAGGTTACATCTTTACATCTTATATCTCTTAATTCCTTTATAAAGAAGCAGAGAGAACATGAGCCAAACAAACCAGACCTGGGTGACACAATTCTTCCTGTTGGGACTTTCTGGTGACCCTCAGACTCAGCTGCTACTCTTTGTATTATTCCTGGCAGTCTATCTGGGCACCATACTGGGAAACCTGCTCCTCACATCTTTGGTTCTGCTTGACTCACAGCTCCATACACCCATGTATTTTTTCCTGTGTAATTTATCTCTGGCTGACCTCTGCTTCTCGACTACCATTGTTCCCCAAACCCTAATCCACATGTTATCTAGAAGGAAATTAATTTCTTTCACAGGCTGTGCAGTTCAGCTTCTTCTCATCCTGTTTTTTGGATGTACACAGTGTTCCTTGTTAGCTGTGATGTCTTATGATCGGTACTTGGCAATCTGTAGCCCTATGCACTACCCCCTCATCATGACATGGAGAGTGTGTGTCCTCTTGGCTTTGGCATGCTGGTCAAGTGGTGTTTTAGTGTCAATGGTGGATGCTACATTCACATTACGTCTCCCTTACCAAGGAGACAATAGAATTGCTCATTTTATTTGTGAGCCCCCAGCCCTTTTGGCTGTGGCATCTGCAGACACACACAGCTCAGAGATGGCTGTTTTCTTAATGGGTGTGGTGATTCTTCTTGCACCTGTGTCCCTGATTCTGATCTCATATGTGTGTATCATAGTGTCTGTGGTCAAGATGAAGACAGCCTCAGGGAGACTCAAGGCCTTCTCCACCTGTGGCTCCCATCTCATTGTGGTCATCATTTTTTATGGATCAGCCATTATCAACTATATGACACCTAAGTCTGCCAAGGAGCTAGGGAAAATGGTATCTGTGTTCTATGCAGTGATAAATCCTATGCTCAACCCCCTCATATATAGTCTGAGGAACAAGGTTGTAAAGAGGGCATTCAGAAATGTTGCCAATAGGAAACTGTTCTGCAGTACCTGATCCTCTCATTTGCCATTGAATTTGACTTTATATTACACTTCTAAATCTTTTTGTATAGCTCAACAGGAGGAACTAGTCTCTTATAGCACATATTACTTGGCAAGAGATGCATGTTTATATTGCTATATCATTATATGTAGATTGGTCACATATCATACCCTTGTAATATGTCTAATTTGTAAGGAGAGGTAGAGATGATATATTTATTCCTCTGAAGAACTGGGTAGAGTTATGATAATTTGAATGACTCAAAAAGAGTCTAATTAATATGGCATTATCATAGCCATTGAATATCCCGCACTTTAATTTGGAGGGTGGAGCTAAATATTATGGAAGGATTCTTGGGAACAAGAAGAAGCAGTCAAGCCTTTAGGAAGGTGGTTCAGTGATGCACTCTCACAAAAAAACTCAACAAAACTAACGTGATAATAGATTGCTCTTAATAGAAATACAGTTCTCAAAATATGTAAGGTTATAATGCCACTATTATTCTCACATGGATATACTATCGGTAGGACTGTGTTATCTCCTGAATGTAACTTTTTTTGTATTTTATTAATCTGTTTTATTTTTTTGATTTTCTGCATTTCTGAACATATCTGTTCCTTCTCCCCTATCCATTGGGCTATAACTTGTAATGAAGTCAAAGCAATTTAGATAACTACGCCACAACCATGTTTGAAATAACAGAGTATTTCAAGTCTGTAGTCCCACTTTTCTGGGATGAGGGAGGTAGATTTGTTTTCTCAGCTCTTCTGAGGCTAAGCTTGGTCATTATAATTGCATAGGCTCAATATTTTGTTTGTTTGTTTTACATCATTGTACTGACTGGTTATATTGTTTTTTTTCTGACCCTATATTTTTAACTCTGTGTCAGCTGACATAAGACTTTCTAGTTTTTTTTAATTCACATTTGTTATTTCTCGTGGTATGGTAATCTTTCACTCTATATAGGAATCATAATTTTCTTAGCCATTACTTAATCAATGGAAATCTACTTTTTTCTAGTTCTTTAATATTACAAAATGCTGCTGCCATGAATATTTTGAAATATATGAAAAATATTATTAATATCATTGCTATTGTTTTGAATATTATTCTTGTCTTTAACCTACTTGGGCAAGTATGAGTAGTTATGGTCTCTCAGGATCTAAGTATATATAGACTTTTAAAATATAAGTTTTTATTGATAACTTTTGTTTGTGCATAATTTTTTCCAACTTAGAAAAAGAAATAAAGACTAAAAGGTATAGTAGAAGTAGCCCAGGGAATGTCGCCACATTTGTGAAGTCTTATGAATAAGTCGTGAAATATAATAATAAGTGTTGCCTCATAAAATAGTAAGAAAGATGGAGGAGAAAATAATACTTAAAGCTTGGCAAGAGACCCAACTAGTATAAATTATCTCAATAATAATTAAGGCATTTTAAGGATGAAATTAGAAAGAGGGCAAAAAAAACCCTACAAAAAGAATATATGAAAATTATTATAGCAATATCTTTTCTCCATTAGTGACAGCATATCTAACATCTATCTAACGTGGAGATATTTTTATATCTCTGGCTATTCTATTTCTTGATGTGCTGCAAGTGGAAGCACTAAAAATAATGGCAAGAATAGCTGGACTAAACCAAATAGAGTCAGAGGAGGTCTGTGCTGGAGGTGTTATAATTTGGAAGATATCAAGGGAATTCAAGATACCAGTAAGATAAAAGAATGTCAATTCATGAAAAAGATGTTGAACTTTATTATTGCCAAAAATATCAATACATATCAATAATTACTGACTCATGAGGCCACTTTCCCCATCTCTATGAAATCACCCTGAGAATATATTATACTTGCACCCAGGTCATTATTTTTTGGAAGGAGTGGCAAAGGAACACACATGATTTTGCAAACAATATTCTATAGTAGAATACAATTCTATATTCACAGTACAAAAATACAAAATCTCATTGTGCTTATCATCTATTCACTATATAAAAGTACTTGATTTTCTAGAACAAAATGCTGCCTTAAATGCATTCTTCTAGAAGGGTGTCTCCCACGCGCATGTCAAAATCATATAAGGTTCCTTGATAGATGTAACAGCAAAGAAAATTATGACTGGCAATCCTGTGACATAAAGCAATGCAAAAAAAAACCATGGAGACATATGCCTGTCACATGAATTTTCCACCATTATAGAGGATGTCCAGCATAGAATCTAAATATAAAATATAATCAGTATCTATTGTAGTCCTTCAAATGCTGCTTTTTGTGCATACCAAATTCCATAAATTCCACATCCACCATGTAAATTTCCATGTACAATAAATCCCAAATTGATTTCTCTTTCCTAAATCTCTTAGATTATATACTACCTATACCCCAAAATCTTGTCATTGTGCTACCTGTATCACATCTCAGAGTAAAAGAAAGTCTTCTAAATGTGGTCTGTAATCACCCAAAAGGTTTGGTTTAACTACACAGGAAAATCCAAGCAAATGAAAAATGCTTACTGTCCAAAATATGAGCAACATTTGGATGGACAATACATATTCCCTGAGTACTGATAGAACATTACAATCCATCAGCATGCATATCTTGGAACAGTTGGGCCCAGAATTGATCAAAGAGAGAGTGATTGGAATTTGAGAAGCTGTAGTGCTTTTAGTGATCCCAAATTTTGCTCTGTAAGAAAGGCTTACCTTATTAACATCAATGTATTTCAAGTAACATTGTATGACTGTTAGCCATGGAATAGCACAGTCTCCGAAAACTTTACATTAAAGGTCTCCCATAAGTCAATAAAGAAGCAACTGGGAGATGTGAATGTGCTGAAAAATAGTATCAGTGAAGAAATGCAGAGCAGCAACATTATAAAGTATGTCATTATAGAGTTATATGGCCAGAAAAAGAAATGAGTCAGTGATGTAGTGAAAACAGGGGATATTGGTGTCCACATAATGTCCAGAGACCTAAAGGAAGACTCTGACACATAAAATACACTTCCTTCACCAACCCTTTTCTTAATGGAAGATTTTGGGGAGGACATAGTCAGGAGTGGTAAAAGATGTGAAGGTATGGATGTGTTGTAATGTATACATTTGTAGGTGGTCTGCCCTTTTCCCACCATTAAGATCACAGAACCAATGAAATATCAAAGTAAATATACCTCATAGCATCTACCACACCACTATCCACATACTAAAGACCAAATATAAGGGATCCAATAAGGTCAAACTACTTACTTCTTATATGGGAAAATGTTCTCTGTACTCTTAAGAATGTTAGCATCACTCAGGTAGTTTGAAAAAGCATACATAGAGAGACAGCTTGGGGTTGAGTTGAGGGTGATGGGATGATTCTAAAAAGCAAAATTGGGTAGGAAGAGGTAAAATTGATCAATTACCCATACAAACAAGGCATGAATGGAAGAACTATTATAGTGAAAGCAGGTAAGGGTGGAGGGCTGGGAGTGCTGGAACTTATTGTCATTAGAACTAGGTTAAAGAGGGAATAACATATATATATATATATATATATATATATATATATATATATATACACATATACATATATATACACACACATATACATATACATATATATGTATATATACATATATACATATATACACATACATATATATAATGTGTATATATGCACATATATGTTATATATATATGTATTAAAGTCCTTGAAATTTATAAAGAAATAGGACACAGGACAACAGAGAGACTTTTAGAAGGCTGTGTAGATCAAGAAGCAGGAGAGTGGGGAAGAGGATAAGCGAGGGACAATTAGGAGGATGGGTAGAAATAGTACTATGAAGGTAAAAAGCAAGAAAAGGGAGGGATTCCTAAAAAGGGAGAGGATTAGAGAGGTAGTGGTTAGAAATAAATCAGATATATGAGGAGGGAAAGGGTTAAAAGACAGGGAAAGAAGGATAATAGTGAGGAAAAATAGGATAGAGGGAGATATACATCTAGTAATTATAACTTTGAATGTGAATGGGATGAACCCATCCATAAAATGCAAATAGATAATAGAATGGATTAAAAATCAGAATTCGACATACGTTGTTAACAGGAAACACATTTAAAAATGAGAGATACATAAAGAGTTAAAAAGCTGGAGAAGATTTTATAGTGCTTCAACTGAAGCAAAAAGCAGAGGCAGAAATAATTATCTGAGACAAAGTTTAAGCTAAAATAAATTTATTTAAAAGAGATTAAATAGGAAAACTACATTATTATAAAAGGTGCTACAGAAAATGGAAAAATAAAAATAATAAACCTATATGCACCAAATGCTATAGCATATAAATTTTAAAAGTTAAGTGAATTACAGGTGGAATTAGATAGTTATACTATAATAGTGGGGGAATTTAACCTTCTCTTTTCAGGATTAGATAAATCTAACAAAAAATAAGAAGTTAAAGAGGTGAATATAAAATTGGATAAGCCAGATATGATAGATATCTGGATAAAACTGAATGGAAATAGAAAAGAGTACACCTTAATCTCAGCGATACATAGTACCTTTACAAAAACTGACCATATATTAAGGCATAAAAACTTTATAGTTAAGCACAAGAAAGCAAAAATATTAAATGCATCATTTTCAGATAACAATGCAATAAGAATTATATTTAATAAATCTCCTTAGAAATGCAGAATGAAAACTAATTGGAGACTAAACAACTCAATCTTAAAGAATGAGTGGGTTATGGATGCAAAAATCATAGAAGTAACCAATAATTTCATTAAAGAGAATGACAATAATAAGACAACATATCAAAACCTATGTGATGCTGCAAAAACAGTAATTAGAGGAAAAATTTTAATCCATAAATGTTTATATCAATAAAATAGAGAAAGAACAGATCAATGACTTGGGTATGCAATTAAAAAACCAGGAAACAAACAAATTAAAAATCCACAATAAAACACTAAATTGGAAATCTTAGAAATTAAAGGTGAGACTAATAAAACTGAGTGTAATAAAATCAT